TTGGTCTTGTGCAGCCAGAATTAGCCCCTCTGTCTCTTTCTTCAACTTTCCTGCTCTTACCATTGCCAGGTCTTGTTCTTATCTGCTTTGCCTGTTAGCTTTTTTGTGTACTGACCATCTAATATTTTGCCTTGCCATGTCTCTTTTTTATTCTTTATTTGATCTTTCTTTTCAAACCAAATCAGTTTGGTTTCTTTGGTATTCAGTAAGCCTTCATGGTATACTAGCTTCAGTGCATTTTCTTCACTGTCCTTCAGATATTCTTCCAATGCCTTTTTTTCTTCTTCAACTGTCCGGTGCACTTGCAACATTCCACACCCACCTGTACTCCTTGGTAAGTAGAGTCTGTCAATGTCGCTGCGTAGATGACGGGCGTGATTCATTGTCATAATTTTTCTGGTCTTCCTATCTAGAGCTTCTAGTCCTGCTTGAGTCCAGTCCACTATTCCAGCTCTTATTAATCATTTTTAAAAGAAAAAAGCAAACAAGCAAAAGGAGAAAAGAAAAAAAACTACAATTGGTACAGATATAGCTATAAGAGGACAAAGTATTACTAAGATTGTGCAGTTAGTGTTCAGTATATCTTTAACTAGAAATAAACCATTAAAAAATACATTACATTAAGTCATTTTAATAATGGAAGTAGGAATTTAAATCTCCAAGCTAAGTGCCAAAATCTCCACTATTTGTTCTTTAAGAAGTCAAGAAAAAAAGAGGGAAAAGAAGAAGTAACTACTAAAAATATTATACATAAGTATTAGTTTCTAACTTTCTCTATGTTATACTCTGCCTGATGTACAATATTTATAGAAATTTTTTAAAAATTGTATGTCTCTGATGTAGTTCCTTAGTCAGTTCTTTTTCTCCTTAAGTTCTTTCAAATTCTGTCATTTTTCTTTGAATCCCTCCCTCATTTTTGAGGTCAGTTTTTACTCGCCCAGCAATTTGCAGGTACATCAACCTTGATATGTTCCAGCCTCCACCAAATAGTTGTTGGTATATCTTTAATCTGTTCATGGAATCTAAATGGACCATATCTGCATATATAATTGGACTTATTATAGTTATCTCTGAAATGAACAGCATTTAAAGGAGAGACTAACAGTGAGATTGTTGGACTTACTATTTTTCTTGTAAGATTCCAAACTTTGATCAAGCTTTGTCTTACATTATGTCCTTTTAAATTTTCATATCCCTGTATCATAAGTATTTATGAAGCCTATTAGTTAGACTGGCTCCTTCTAATGTTAATATTCTACTGTTTGAGGATTTTATCCATTCTGTTAGCCATGACAAATAGCTTGTTCTGAAATATAGTTTAAAGTTGGAACAGTGAGACCACCTCTGTCTTTTGAGTCTTGTAAAATATTAAACTCTGGGAGAGTTTTCCACTCCATATAAATTTACTAACAGTTTTTTGACATTTTTGTACATTTTTTTTCTGGAATCAGAATAGGTATCATTTGAAATAAATACATTCTTAATAATCTTAATTGTCATAATTGATTCTAACCAAGAAAACTTTCAATTTTTCCATCTTTCAAAAACTCTTTTAATTTCTTTCCGAAGTTTGACATAATTATTTTGATGCATTTCTTGATATTCCCTGTCAAATACAAACCCAGATATTTCAGAGAATTTATTGTCTGGCAGCCAAATCCCTTCCATAGGAAATCATCTTTTTCCTGCATTAAATCTCTTGTTCGTTTTAAACATTGGTTTTATATTCGGAGAGTTCTCCAAAGCCTTGGGTTATTTTCATCAACTATCTTATTGCATTTGATTCTGTGATTTTTATACTCATTGGTTTCTATAGGGGCTCATGTTTTGACTTGTATATCAGTAGTTTAGAAACTAGCAGGAAGATAACAGAAATGGGTATTACACAGAGTTATGATCATACCACCACTGGAAGACCTGAAGGACCAGGTTAGAGACAGATCATCAGGGATGAAATCTATCTGTCTGGTCACTGAGAGTTGACACTGATCTGACCATCATCATCAATCAATCAATAATGATACCCAAAAAATTAATCCACAAAACTGGGAGGATAACAATTCTCTCTCAGTTTTTCCAATTATCTTTCTCTATCTAAACAAGCATTATATCATTGGAAGTTCCAGTTGAAAGTCTGTCTTGAGGTTTGGGTTGTGTATGAAAGTGTATGTGTTTAATTTCATGTTTAGTTTCTATTTTAAATAAACTGGCTTAAATTTTAATAATATGGTTGTATAACAGGACATTAAAACAAGATAAATAGCAAACTCTTTGTGAAAAGTAAGAGGGCATAAGCAAATGGGCTGCTTGCACCAGCTCACTATTCCCACCTTGCTATTAATGTGTATGCAATCACTTTATATCACCTGTTGCCTTTACCTTTGAATAAATGATTATCATCCTTTAAATTAGGAATGGAAGAAACATGGAGATTATTGCTATAAGATTGACAAGAATGAAGTCTCCTTTGGAAATGTCTGCAATCTTACCATAGCAAATAGGTAATGTACAGTGTTACACTTTGTATGCATAAAATTGTTCAAGCAATGGCTGATTTGCCAAATATTTCTTAAACAAATTTTAAAATATGCTATATCCTGCAGAAATATTCCCTTTAATCCTAGCTAAATATATTTTGTACATTTGATGATACTTGTTCTTTGTACTGAATCTCTGACCTTTACAGATTTGAACAAGAATTCATAAATAATTTAATTAGAATGCACAATAAAGTTGAAGAAAAGTACTTCTGGACTGGCTTGCAAGATCTCAGCTCTTCAGGGGAATACAGATGGGGAAGTGTGGATGGAAAGAATGAAATACTAACATTCACAAATTGGGGTTCCTTTCAACCAGGTAAATTATTGAACTTAGTGAAGTGCTAATGTTTGTTTCATGATACAGCCTTGGATGACCATTTTCTTAAATATCACATAAATAATTGAAGCATCAACTTTTTAGAATTTCGTGGAGGATGTGTGGCAATGTCAAGTGGAAGACACCTTGGAAAATGGGAAGTCAAGAATTGCCAAACATTTAAAGCTTACTCTATTTGCAAGAAATACATTGGACCAAAGAGAGAACCAGAGATACTGCCAAAAGTCACTGACCCTTGCCCACAAGGGTGGTCCAGGGGTTCAGGTCTTGCTTGTTATAAGGTATCATGTCTATTAAATTAAAGGTATTATATCCTTTCTGCTGAATTAATTTATTCATTTTTCCAGTTCTTAAGAAAACATTCTTGAACTACTTCCAGTTTTCTTGTTCTCCTCTGCTGTCATAGGTTCCATTATATATTAACCAAAGTTACATGTATTTCCTTCCTTCCTTTCTTCTCCCTCTTTCTCAAATGGAATAATTTCCACCAGTTGGGCAGAAATGCTTGATATGGGATCAGTTTTGTGTATAACTTCCTCTAAACTAAGTTTTAATATCAATTCCCTGAGAAATGTTTTTCTGAAAAAAACACAAATTGCCCCAAAGCAGGATTTTTAAAGTAAATGCCATGAAAATAAGCCTTTTTAAACCAAAATTAGCTTCCCTAAATTCAACTTTTGGACACATACTTTGTTTTTCAGAAACATTTCTTGCAAGCAAATCAATTTTGTGCGCATGGATCTTTGAGCAAAGAAAAATGGGTACCAGAAGACTTCAGTCAATGCAGCCTTCTACGCTGCAACAAAATCTATTACGTCAAATGTTGTGAATTTGCTCTCATACAGATCCATGTTGAATTCCTGTTGTAACTTCAACCTTAATTGTTTTGAGATGCTCTGAGCTGTTCCCTCAAATGCTTCTGCTGGCATAACTTGGAGGAATTCTATGGAGTTCCCATTTTTCCTGAAGATAGCTCTCCCATCCCTCATGTTGGATTCTTCAGAGATCAGAGAGGCTGCATGGAAAGGAGAAATAAATTAAAAATAATTTCCTTCAGTTAGAACTTCAAATGAATGGAGTAGCAGTCATGGGACTTGAGAACCAACCAAAGAAACTTAGGACACTTTATTTGATGAACTTTTTGTAGATTTGAAATAAAACAAAACAAAATAGAAATGTAGCTGGATATAACCAGATTGGAAAGTTCATTAGTCCATAAAAGAACTTTGAAGTAAAAGGCATACAGTATATGTATAGGAAAAAAATATTAATACTGTATAGAGTTAAACTGGATTTTTTTTCTGTTTTCTTACGAAGTTCTTTCATAAGGAAAGAGTGCTGAGAACCAGAACTTGGGAGGAAGCTGAGAGATTTTGTGAGGCTCTTGGAGGACATCTTCCTAGTTTCAGCCACTCAGAAGAAATTAGGGAGCTCCATACAATACTGAGGGAGACCATCAGGTAATGTTCTTGAGAGCCTAGTATTTTAGTGAATTTAATTGATGTTTCAATGTATCTTCATGTATTTATACCATAACAGATGTGATAAGTAGCATTAACAGCTTTTAAAATAGCTGAACAGTCAAGTGATCTTAATCGGTCTCTTAGGGGCATCTTGAGACTGAGGAAAGGGAGACTGAGGTTTCTGGATAGTTCCTCTCAGGTGTGAAAGAGTGGATCCTATGCTTTTTTTTTTTCCTAAAAAAATGGAAGTACTATGGTGTGATTTCATATCATTTCTATTCTAAACTAGAGAAAACTGTAATAAGATCAATTAAATAAACAACCAAGTGTTGAATCTTTCCAATACTTATACTGTACATCTTCTCTTTTGTATGCTGAGTACTATCAGAAGTGTGTATGTATTTGAGATTAATCCTGGAAGAAATAAAGACTGTTTTGTTGAGGCAATGATGATCAGGCAGAAACTGATATTTTTGGGGGGGCATATAAGTGGATGATGAACTAAAAAAACCATTATATGGATAGAGAGAAGTAGAAAAAAGGGAAGACAACAGACAGTGTAGTTGGATAAGATTAGAGATGTTTCTGGAATGTCCCTAAAAGAATTACAGGTTGTGGCAACCTGAGGCAAGGCAAGTTAGAGAGTGTTTGTCTGTATTGATCCCAACTCAATAGCAGCTAATTAACTAATTTGCTAAACAAAAAATCTGTGACTGCCAAAGAACCTGCTGGCAGGGTTACTATTTTTTTTTATCTACTGTATATACTCCTGGATAAACCAAGAATTTTAAGTGTCAGAATACACCCCAAAAATCAGGCTTGGCTTATCCATGGATAGACTTACCCATGAGTATATATGGTAATACTTTTTTAAAGTACCCGTAATTCCCATATATATTTATGGGTAAGCCCATCTGTGGATAAACAGACCCTCAAAATGTTAACAAAATTACCATGAAAAATGTGGATCGCTTATCTGCAGGTGGCACGTTTTTCCTGATATTTTGCTTTAAAATTCAAGTTTTGGCTAATCTGCGGATGGGCTTACGTGCAAGTATATATGGTACAGTATTTATTTACTGGCATTGATATCCCCCCGAGTGCTTTGCCTTCCACTACCATCACAACGTGCAGCTTCTATATTTGATTTTTTTTCTTAATGAATTCTGTGTCTAGATTCCAGACCATGCAAGCCAAGCCCATTTGATCTTTATGACTTTGTTTTCTATCTTTTAATCACTTATGCGTTACAGGCTTTATATATGTAGTTTATTAAGGAAATATTTATAAAGAAATGTGTATGCAATGCTAAACCAGCAGGTTGGCAAAATAATCTCCTAGCATGCTTACAAATTTGGGCATCTCCAAAGAGCTATTGTCTTACATGATGAAGATGATCATCAAATATGCAAAAGTAATAAAACAATTGTGTTGAAAATTCCCTTATATTTTTTACTGTTTTATTTACAGTGATGACAGATGGGTCTGGGTTGGGCTAAATAAGAGGAATCCTGATCTTCTGGGATCTTGGCAGTGGAGTGACGATAAGCCTGTAAGTTAAACTGACCATACCAAGAATACCAAAGGATCTAATCCCAGCTGGGAGAATGCTGGTGAAATTCTGAAAAAAATTGGAGAACATTAAGACATATTTTGCACAGGAAAAGTAAAATAGACTCAAAACAATAAAGGTGAAGAAGGTACAGTAGCATAATTTGGTTATGAAAATGTTTAGAAGTCCAAAACCTGTGCCAATTTACTGTTGCTTTACATGGAAAGTAATTACTTTCTGGAGGATTTATTTAGACACAATTAATGCAAGGACCCTGTTAAGCACATGGAGGTCCTCATCCAAGGGCTGCTGTGGTCACTTCATTGGAGGGAACAGATCCTTATATAAATTCCATCTTGTTCAATGAATTAAAGAACCACATATGTAGGATTCCAGATTTCACAGAATGAAAATGAAATTCTGGATTATGATCAGTAACTAATTCATAGTGTGGCCTTTAAATGCTTTGTCAGTATGGAATTTCAGAAGGTAATCTGGTGCAGTCTGTTAAAACCATATATCTAGTATTGAGTATTGAAAGTACTTTTTAAAAAAATTTTCTCAAGATTCCTGCCCCTACAATACTGGGGTTGCTAAAACGTGCTAATTAATATTAATAACCTACAGCTTTATCATAGTTCTTTCTTTGTAGGTCTCAACTCCTGTTATGCCCCCGGAATTTAGAGAAGATGACTATGATGCTCGAGATTGTGCAGCTGTTAAGGTGCGTTGTGACATTTTTGATTACTAACTCCTAAAGAGGAGAAAATAGTGGGAGAACCTGTGCTATGTTTGTATAAAGTAACATGGTTAATCTAATACTTGCAATAATTCCTGCAGTTTAGTCAGTTAGTCTGCCCTAAGGACTTTTTAGCTTGTTTCCTACTAAGTTTTCTTTTTACTATGGAATTGCTTCGTCACATTTAGCAGGGAACCAGGTCTTATAGTACAGCCCTAAAAGATGGGGGATGGGGGGGATACTGCACTATGGCCACATCCCTGCCTATTTGAACAGCAGATCTAAATCATTTTTTATAGTTGACAGTTCAAATAGCGAAATAACAGTTTGAGCTGTAAGAAGACATTGCCTTGCCATCCACTCCGTTGTATTTTCCCAGGGGAGCTTCTCCAAGTTTGGATTTTGTATCTTATTTTTCAACTTATTTTTATTTTCCTTAGAGTTATTAGGAGAACTAGCAAGTTGTACTGAAGACATACAGTCAGAGACCGAAAGGGAGTCCAGGTTTTCATTTAGCTCTTCCTCGACAGATAATGAAAGCTCTAACAACTGTTGTTTTTCTAGTTCTGTTTGTAAGTCCCATTCAAGTGATTCAAGGGCTGCAAATTTGTTGGAAAGGAGGGAAGATTTGCTTTACTTACACTTTCGTTTTGTGTGAAAAGTTCTTCTATCTTTGGTTGTTTAGCTGATTTTGAA